ACAGATTAAAAACTGCAGAGCAGTCTGGGTAGTAGTAATAATAATAATAATAATAATAATAATAATAATAACAACAATAATAATAATAATGCAACAAGTAATAGAAGTCTTTTATACTGTATATACATAGTTTCAGTTTCTTAGCCTATGATAGTCTACTGTATGTCTGTGTCGCGTGTTCATACAGACCCATCTCCTCACGAATGATACTGAATTGTTGCAAAACCACCAGATTTTGTTCATTTATATATATATATATATATATATATATATATATATATATATATATACACACACACACACACACAGCAAGTTGTACTGTGTCAAACTGCATCAGCGATATGAATAACATTAGTGAATAATTGAATGCAGTTTAATACAAGTGTGCATGTATTCATGGGTGAGGGAGATGTCCCTTTTCCATTAGCTTCATTACCCCCATAGTGCAAAACTAAAAACATAACTGCCAGACACCAACATATCTTGGCTAATAAACTATTTTTGCCATTTAAAAAAATTGTATACATTAAGATTTTTCATCAAACCATATCTTTAAAAGACACATCAAAGCTATGGAGTGCTGTACTAAAAGAGAAATTATTTTTTAGCCATACCTGAAAAGGAGAGCAGGTTTCATGTTATAATAAACAAAGTTGGATGATTTGCATACTGAGCAGTGTGTAAGTGAAAGTAATAAACTTTCTAGCAGCTCCATAGTGACATCTACTGGACAAAAGGGCAAAGGACAATAGAGCCCAGAGAATTTAAAAACCAGAGGTAAAAAATAAAGGGTGATGGGATGGAGAGGGAAAATTGATCATTTTCCTACTGGATGCATTTAAAAGCAGTCTGCTCTTCACTAAATTATTGATGGTCTAGCTAGCAGGTTTTCATAGCTAAATCAACCAGTACTGAAAATACATCTACCATGAACTTACTGCGTTCTGGCTTTTGACATGATTAAGTTATGCCATCAAAATCAGTAGAAAATCAAGAAATGTTACAGTCACGCCATTTATAAATAGATAGCTGTAAACAACTGACCATGGAGATCAGAGTCAATTCATATAAGGGTACCAAACTCCTCAAAGTCAGTGGCTACGTTTACATGCACATCAATATTCCAATAGGAATTTGACATTATTCTAATTAGTATCGAATCATGTAAACGCTGCAATCTGACTGCCCGATTCAGATTAAGACAGTATTCTGATTCCCCAAATTCTGATTCCCACCCCTGGAATATGCCTGTGTTAATCTGAAATTTGTTGCATGTAAACACCTTATTCATAAAATCCACTGAAAGGAGATATATGCACATGCTCAGTCTGCAAGGAATTGTGGGTACTAACAGATGCTTAGCTGTAGGCTAGTTATTTAGGAATGGCAACTCAAACATACTTACAACAATCATGTACACAGGAATATTCCAGTGCCTGTATGCATATAAACATCGTATTCAGAATATGGCTGCAACCCGATTATAGCCCTTAAACAGAATTTGATGTGCATGTAAATGTAGCCAGTGTTTTTATACAAATCGGTGCAAAGATCTCATAATTAACCAAGTGACTGCAGTGCTTTGTTATGCCTTTACTATACTACTCACATACCTGGATCCAAATGGCTGAAGGTTCCAATGATAAAATCCAGAGTAGATACAGCAAGGATGGCCAACAGGATGAGCTGCAGCCGGACAATCCACTTTACTCCGGCCAGGTTAATCCCAAGCAGAGCCAGGAGGACAGCCACAGAGATCCCCCGGACAGCCCACACGCTCTGCACAGTCAGCACCTCGGCTATTGATTCCGCAAAGCCAGTGATGTACATGGCTCCAGCCACACACTGAGAAAATGATCACCATGTGTTAAAACCATTGCTCCATTTGCTCATACGTAGGTTTGCCACCATGATCTTCTCACCTGCCCAAACACATAGAGGAGTCCTACAGTGCCTCCGACTCTTCCTCCGAGAACCATGGAGATCATGGAATATACGCCCCCATTGCCCACAGTACACCGCTCACACACCCCTATACCCGACATAACTGTCACCAGAGCAACCAGCACGACCAGTGATACCAGGAGCATGCCCAGCAACACCCCAGTGTTTCCCTGAAACAAAGGTTTGGATTAGTTTGTTTTTGCCACAACTATAGATAGTCAGTCCTTACTGTTCAAATATCACCCAGAAAAATGAAGCCAACCTAATATTTTAATTATCCAGTGTAACAGAAGTGACTCCTGGCACCTAAAAATGATTACCAGTGAGCGTAAACTGAATTAAACATGGTCAGACAGGCCGCACTTAAATTTGTGCAAAAAAAAGATGTTGTTAGAAGGTTAGACTATTTTTGGTCAAATATGGTCCACCTTGATTTGGTCCCTAAATATGCTTCTGTCTGGTCCATATTCAGTTTGATCCTTTCTATACACCTACAATGTTCATTATTATATGTCCTTAGAACTTTTCTGGACAAAACATAAACCATAAACTGTGGAAAAGTTGCATTTTTCCTCACATCATTTAAACGTTTTGAAGCTTAGACAGCAAATAAATAGTAGATAAATGATTTTCATTGTTCAAAGCATCAAACTGTCACTCACTACGAGCCATCCAGTGCGGAGAAAGAGCACTACCCCAAAAATGTTGATCATGCACGTGGTGAAGACACCATCCCAGGTGCCGAACAGGACAGGCTCCCACACAAACAGCTTCATCTTCCACCATGGCTGAGCATTCATCTGAGAGCCCTGCACAGGAATACAAAGCCACACATTTGCAGAAATAAAGGTTGTCCTTGTTGTTTGGGTAATACCATCAAGGGTACAGTACATTTTATGTATCTTTCACCTGGAAACGTGAATATAGTATATAGTAAAAGGTACATAACTGGACTTCAAGGATGAGTGAATGCTAATTAAAGGTGTACCACATGCACCTTCCCAGGTATAATATACCTATTAAAGGTACAAAAGCTGTAACCTTGATGGTACCAGCCCACAAGGAAAAGTACAGTTCTGTACCTTTATTTCTGAGAGTTCAGGACATAAGACATATATCCAGAGAATAACGAGGATTGATTACCTGCCAGTTTTAGACAGTGCTAGGCTTCTTCTTCTTCTTTTCTTTTTTAAGAAACCTTATTAAATGCTCTGGCTGTCCAAACATCTGACTCACTGGCTTTCTTCAAACAAAGACTAAAGACCTACCTCTTCACCAAACACTTGAATTAGCTTTAGCATACATTTATTAAAAATCCATTGACTTGTGTGTTTTTCTTTTCTTGCTGTAACTAACTAACAGGGTTTTACAGTATTCTTACACTCTGACCTACTGAACTAGCATAAGGATATCTGGTTAAGGGTGTCTGCTAAATGCTGTAAATGTAAATTAAAATAACATGAAGAACAAGAAGAAACTCTACCTGGGCATTTTCATGAAATAACTCCTGAACGTGTGAGCTCATGTTGCCTCCTGTCTCAGCAGTATAGCATTTTCTTCATGGGAAGCTCAGAAATATCACCAGCTCTGGCCACTTCACCACCTGTAAACACACAGAGAGAGGAAAAGAAAAGTCTCTCAGTGCACCTGCTGAAAGTTCACCAGACTATCATTAGTCTGTTTTGGGGAAATAGTCACATGACTACCTTCAAGCGTCGACCATTGTTAATGAGTTAAACATTGAAGCTATTAATTAACAACATGAGAATAATATTCTACATCACCACAGCTTTTCTGTAAAGTCTTACTGATAGCTATAACCAATAGCTATCATCCATTACACATCCTATGTGAACGTAAACCTGTTTTCTCCACATAGGTGTTTTCCTTAAAGGTTAAAATGACTACAGCGCCGGCGAATAAAACTTCTCAGCTAAACGATAATACTTTTAAAATTTAAAATATATTGGCAGCTTGACCTAGATAAATATACCAGATATTATACTTACCTGCTGTCCCGGATGCAACAGGTGTGTAAGTGTGTACGTATGTATCGTAGGCGCGTGCGTGTGTGTGAGCGCGCCTGTGTGTGTGCGTGCGTGTGTGCGCGCGCAGGTCCGCGTCAGAAGTACTTGAAGGGGAACAAGTTTTCTCGAAGCAGTTAGCTGAAGCTCATAACATAAAAAATTGTTTATTTTCCTTCGTTCAACCAGTCACTATAATATGAGTTCGCTTCTCTAGTTTCATGTAAGACACAATCACCTCAGAACGTCCATAAACACGCTGAACAGCCTGCCCTTCACACCATTTGGTGGCTTTTTACTTACACACCCTGTTTTCAAGACGTTAATCCACACCTCAGGCTATACATGCATCGTCCATCAGGTATAAATCATATACATACCCGTAATATTCCAAACATACTAAATACATACTAGTTTTAGTCTCAAATGCGTTTTAGTGTTGCTGCTAACAGCGTCTGGCATGGCTTTCACTCCTAAAATGTCTTAATGCTACGTGTGCAGCAGTGGCACGTCATTAAACAAATGCTGGAGCTGGGCAATGCTACAGGTGTGCTCACAAGCACAGCATGAAACACCTGAACACTGTGCCACTAGGAGCTGTGAAGAGCCTTTATATTACAACAAAGATGAACAACTAGGACTGGGAATATTCCGAGATATTTACTATGAATTGATTGGATAAACTACTGATCAATCAAATCAATCAGAGCCGGTGACTGGAAAGGCCACTGAAGAACACTGAATTCATTGTCATGTTCATGAAACCAGTTAGAGATGACTTTTGCTTTGTGACATGGTGCATTATCATGCTGGAAGTAGCCATTAGAAGATAGGTAAATTGTGGCCATGAAAGGATGCATATGGTCAGCAACAATACTCAAATAGGCTGCTCCTGTTAGGGGTCGCTACAGCGGATCATTGGTCCGCATATTTTGATTTGGCAGTTTTTGCTCTGGATGCTGACGCAACCCTCCCCAATTTTATCCAGGCCTGGGACCACTGGGAGTGCACCGTCATGTGCACTGGGGTTGGAGCCCTGGCTGGGAATCAAACCCAGGCCGGTGCAGTGAGACTGCTGAGGCCTAACCACTAGTCCTCCAGGGACCCAGCATTCAAGCGATGATTGATTGGTATTAAGGGGCTTAAAGTGTTCCAAGAAAACACTCCCCACACCATTACACCACCTCCACCAGCCTGGACTGCTGACACAAGGCAGGTTGGGTCCATGGATTTATGCTGTTGGTGCCAAATTCTGACCCTACCATCTGTGTGCCTCAGCAGAAATCAAGATTCATCAGACCAGTCTGCGTTTTTCCAGTCTTCAATTGCTCACCAGTTTAGGTGAGCCTGTGTCCACTGCAACCTCAGCTTTCTGTTCTTGCCTGACAGAAGTGGAACCCGACGTGGTCTTCTGCTGTTGTTGCCCATCCGCTTCAAGGTTCAGCATGTCGTGCATTCCGAGATACTTTTCTGCTCCCCACAATTGTACAGAGTGGTTATCTGAGTTACTGTAGCCTTTCTGTCAGTTCGAACCAGTCTGGCCATTCTCCATTGACCTTACTCATCAACAAGGAGTTTCCATCCGCAGAACTGCCACTCACTGGATGTTTTTTCTTTACTGCACCATTCTGAGTAAACTCTGGAGACTGTTGTGCGTGAAAATCCCAGATCAGCAGTTATAGAAAGACTCAAACCAGATCCTCTGACACCAGCAATCATACCACTGTCAAAATCATTGAGATCAAAATTTTTCCCCATTCTGACGGTTGATGTGAACATTACCCGAAGCCTGTGGCCCATATCTGCAAGAGTTTATGCACTGCACTGCTGCCACACGATTCTCTGATTAGATAACTGCATGAATGAGTAGGTGTACAGGTGTTCCTAAAGAAAGTGCTCAGTAAGTGTATAAATTATCTCAAAAATCAATTCAGCACAAACAGTATTTGTTACAGCAAAAACAAATGGGATGGTTTTATTTCTTTTTTTTTTTTTGTGGAGGGGGGACAGGCATTATCCTGAAGATTACTTTATAAAAAGTCTGAGGGAGTTATCTGCATCCACTAAATGACTAAAAGCTGTGTCTAGTCGTAAAAAACACTCACAACTCAACACATTATGTGTGGATATCATTGGTATTCAGCCAAGTATGTTGACAAAAGGAAAGACTCTGTTGACTCTGTCTATTGACATATGGCAGCCAGAACAGGAATCTACTGTAGCTTCAGAGCAAACACTACAGTGAAGCGAAACACGCAATTGTGAAACGTAATTACCCACAAATTGAGGTAAGGAGGGGGACATATGCAAAAACAAATTAAAAAAACACCACTGAATTCTTCAGCTGTATTTCAAAGGACATACACAAGAGATGCAATCAAGAAAAAAGTTTCCCTCCATGTTCTATTTATCATATTGCATAAAATGAATGGTGTTCTATGGAAATAATTTGGCTACAATAAAATGCATACATATAAAAAAATATATATAACCAGTGTATAAAAAACAGTGGATATGCATCCCGCATCAACTTGATAAAGTCTATAACTAAGAAGTTCAGGAACCATCACTGCTTAAGAACAACTGTGTCAATCTAAACAAGGGAAAAAAACCTTATCCATCAATATTGCTCCCATAATTCCAATGTATGGGATGCAAATAAAGAAGAAAAAAAATAGAATCGATGTAACTGCTTGCAGAAGGAACAGAAAACAACAATACCATCCTACGAAGGTAATGAAAAGTGTTCTCACTTCATTTTGACTTGAGGGACATCCTGGTTGACTTGAAACCTGATGGATTTTAATCGTGGACTGACTAACATTAAAAAAAATAAAATCACTTTTACTTGTGTTCTAGAGGTCCATGAGATATATAGCTGATATCTGCTGAATGATTTGATGCGCATCTGCAAAAAGATGCATCTGCTTAAGTAATGCATCTAGTAGAAAAATTCTTATCTTAAAGAGAAATAGAGTTATGAGCTTTTAAGACACAAAATGAGATTATCTACTGTGGTATTTTCAGCTTCAGGAACAGAGAGAAGAAAAAAAACCTAGTCACTAGGAATCAACAGTAACATGAGCAGTGTTCATCGAGGCCAGAACCAACAGGATTATGCAGACTAATTTAACAGAGTACATTCATTTAAAAATCCACAGAGATCCCAAATATCTCCAATTTCTCCTTCTCACTCATAAAACAAAATGTGCAGTTCTAAATGTACAACTTACATACATACATACATACACACATACGCATAAACAGGACACACATCTGACAGTCAAATGAGGGAATGTTTCTAAATGAAGTACAAGGAGTAACAGCGATTTACAATAAAGATCTCTTTACAATGTAGTTCCAATTTGGTCTGTAGTTTAGCATGGCACACCTGTAGGCTTTAAAAACCAGCATCCATAAATTACATATTATGGACTTGGTTAAGACATTTCAACACCCAAAAAAAGAGAAATAGAAGCATACAGAAATTATAAACAAAGGCAGTATGATGAAGTGATTCATTGTTAGATGTATGATGTATAATAACATAAATATGGTTATTAATACTAAATAAATGTACCAAAGATCAAAGTCATGCACCATTTGTTTCATCAAGCAATGCAGTGAATACATGAATGTCAGTTTAGAGACAGAAAAGGCAAATTTTGGTTCATATTTCAAGGACAATGATTAAAGATACATGACTCAACTGTAATTTCCCAATTTCATGTATTTGCTTGCTAACTACCAAACACACAGTTGAATGACATAGCAAATAAAGACATCACCAATCTCTGACACTATAAAATAGTTCCATACTTGTTATAATGAAATTGGAAAAGGTGCTTCAAAAAAAGACCAATAACACCGTAATTCAGGCTGGGTTTCATATGTCAAGTTGGATTGAAAGTCCTAGGTATAAAGAGTACTGATTTTTCCCCACAAGGCCTAAGTGCAAATTGGTTAAATAATTAAATAATAGCTTAGCTAAACCATTAATTTCTTTAGGTTCATGGTCAAAACTAAACAACAAAACTTGATGGAGAAAGGCAGTTAAGGGTATGTTTTGAATATTTCACAGATACACAAAAAGGCACTACATGCAGGAAAAAAAAAAACTTTTTAGGTAAGCCTACTTCATCAGTTTCATTACTGAAAAATCCAACTTGAGGAATGCACTTAAATTGTGATACCTTTATTAATTACCCCATGCTGTATCTGAGGTATACTCTCCCAGTATAAACTAAATGAATTGTATTTCTTATGATCATGGCATATTAGTTTTTTTGTACAAAGAAGAAAATTAAGATGTCAATCAAGGTACCTACAAATACAACAATGTATCAGAGATGTACCTAGTTCCATTATAATTTAAGAGCTTTTCTTTGACATTAATATTACCTTCATAGTGTTGTGCAAAAATATCTGAGAATTATATAATTTCATTATATAAAATTATGAATTCATGAGTTTAAATTGGAAATTTAAGAGCTTATCTGTATGTACCTGTAAGGAAGTAAATTCTCTCTTAGAGAGACTGGCTGTGCAGTATGTGCAGATGAACTGAATGAATTAACAAAAAAAAAAAAAATACAGAAAAGTGCCTTTTACATGAATAGACATTAAATGAGTGTGCTGAAAAACAAAAACTACTTCCTAAAATGATTCTCATCCTTGCAAGATTAAAACAACCACCAAATAGAGAGAGAACATCTGGAGTTCAAATGCTTGCCATGAGATGAACATCCAATACCGTGCTGCTTACATTCGCAGAGCAAGAGTATAAAGTGCTTTTAAATGACTAAAATATTAAATAGCTTTTCTTTTTTTTTTTTAGCCAAACGTGTGGCTGCTTGTAGCATCTGGAGAGGAGCTCATTTGAGTTCTGGTTTCAGTAACATTAACAAGAGAGAATTCTGGAAAGTCTGTTCCTCCATGACTTCTTATGCTGACCTGTCCATTGGAAACACTAAATTGTGAAGACAGTCCAGACCGGGATGACGTCTGGAACTGAGATCGGAAGTTCTGATCAAAAGTGGCAATCTGAAACGTTTGAGTGATGCCCTGAGCATCTGTCTTTTTAGGGGACACCTGCTCCAGAAAGTCCTCAGTCGGTGACACTGAAGAAGGGTTGGTTTCATCGCCCGAAAATGAGAACGAGTGTTGGGAATCTACTAAAAGACCAAAGTGAGGTTTGTCCAGTCTCAGAGGAGAGTTCATACCTGATCTAAACCGGCTTGGAGAACCAAACTGTTTGTCTGTAGAAAATAAGGGCTGCCCACCAAGGGTTGCACCATCATTCACAAACGCTAGGCTCTGGCTGTTCAGGTAGCTGTCATTCTGACTGGTCCTCTCCAATGCTTGTTGGAGAAACTTTGAATACTCTTGCAGAAGACTAGCCTTCTCCGCAGTGGGTGCTTGGGAGCTAGTGCCCAAGGCCTCAGTAGGGCTACTCTCCGAAACATCAGAGGAATTGATGGAGATGCTGGACGTTACTTCTGTGTCTGCTACACTGAAGCTGATCTCTGGTTGTCCATTGACCTTGTTGGAGTAGTGATCCAGGAGCGACTGCAGGACTTCATCAGGGAGCACATTCTTCTCATGGCTCGCCTTGATCTCCACGTTCAGAGTCTGAGTCTCCGACAGGATTGTGGCAGGAACAGTCTCATCTATGACAGTGGCCACGGCTGCCTGAGTAACTGAGGGCTGTGAGGAGATGCTGTTCACATTCAGGGCATATTCCCGACTGTTATTGGCCGTGGTTGCCTGGAGGTAACGCTTCTTCTTGAGAAACTGCATGGCATCATCATAGTTTGTGCTGCTGCCAGCTGGCTTTGTGGGCCCAACCTGGAGAGGATCGACAGTCTCCAAGTCAGGGCTTGGCTCTACATCCAATAGGCCCTTGTTATCAACAATATCAAATGTATATCTTGTGACCTTTCCCTCCTCATATGATGACAGGGGTGACAAAGGCTGCGAGTGTTCCAAGGGCTGCTGCTTTACATTCTTCTTGTTAGCAATCTTCTTCAGCACTATCTTCGGAGGAGTGATCTCATCAGAAGATGCCTCCCCAGTAAGTTGCCTGCTTTCTGGAGAACAATCTG